CAAAGTCACATTTCACTTAATTTTTATCCTGCCAAACTTGAAAGCGTTTTAACTTAGTGATTTTAGTGTAAACAGGAGCAGGAGAGAATGTAATCATCTAGGTCTTGTTCTGTCACCCAGGCTGGAGTGCAGTGCCATAATCATAGCTACTGCAGCCTCAAATTCCTGGGCAGAAGCAATTTTCCCACCTCAGCCTGTCGAGTAGCTGGGACTAGAGGTGTGTGCAACCATGCCCAGCTAATTTTTACATTTTCTTATGGAGATGTGAATTCGCTATGCTGCCAGGCTAGTCTTGAACTCCTGATTTCAAGTAATCCTCCCAACTTGGCTTGTCAAAGTCCTGGGATTACAGGTGTGAACTACTGCTCCCGGCCAAGAGTTTAGTTTTGTTTGCTAGTGGTGTTTTGGCATCTTTTCCTATTTGAGACTTTGGTGCTAGTGCTGAAGTATTACACTCGCCATCCAAGGTTTACAGGACTTTTGTTTTAATATGGAACAGATGGAACAGTTTAGTTCTGCATCTTTGCAGGTATACAAAATGTGCCTACCAGGACTCTGCTTTATATCCATTGAAAGCAAGAAGTAATACAGTAAAACTGCCTGGCTAGAGGCTTTGAAGAAATGGAGTGTTCTGGTTGAATTCTATTAACTTGAAAGTATGAAGGTGAAAAAAATTCAGAACTTAAATTTCCTTTGGATGCAATTTGAAAATATAGCCAATGATTCCACTTTTCTTCTCTAGTAAGTTTGGACATTCTGATCTACTTGGTGGTTTATTATAGAACTCCTAGTGTGCCTGAGACTTACATTGTCAAGATTTTTTAAAAAAACTTTAGCAGTAAGAGGATGTAAATGGTTTTGTATGAGATCAGGCTAGATAGGAACTGATTCTTGTAAATATACTTGTTAGAGTAAACCTCTGAATGCCACTTGTTTTCTTATTGAACTCATAAAAATAAAACACATTGGATGGAGGGTGGGAGTAGGAAGGAGAGTTATGTGTTTTAATTGCATGTCATTGTTTTGTATCAAGACAGAACATATAGTATCCCTGGCTTTGGGCCTCCAGAAGGAAACACATTTTTCTACCTGCTGTATGGCAGAGGTTCTTAAATACCTGGAGGGATGACTGCAGCACAGATTGCTGAGCCCTATTCCAGAGTTTCTGATTCACCAGGTCCAGGGTAGGGCCTAGGAATTTGCGCTTATAAAGAGTTCTCAGGTGCTTCTGGTGCTGCTAGTCCAGAGATGACATTACTGAGAACCACTCTTGTCTACTAACTGTAAATTATAGAACTCTAAACAAAAGCTTGGTTTGGTCTGGGATAAGAAGCACACAGGTTATGGAACAAATCATGAAAGATTCAACCCTTGATCCCAGCCTTGTGTGGAATTCAGGTAACAAGCAGTATACAGTGACATAACAATTCTTGGTTTTCATGATTGTAAGTCATAGCCAAGTATGAAGTGAGAAATTCAGTTTCATTTGCAAAGCTTAGAGAGGCCAGGTGATTCTAGAAAAATGGGCCTTGTATTTGTTTTAAAGTGGTAAAGAGCTTTGAGTGCTTATTAAATTGAAAGCTTTTAAAATTTATTTTGTATTTTATTTTATTTCTTTTGAGATGGAGTCTCACTTTGTCGCCCAGGCTGGACTGCAGTGGTGTGAGCTTGGCTCACTGCAACCTCCGTCTCCTGGGTTCAAGTGATTCTCTTGCCTCAACCTCCCAAATAGCTGGGATGATAGGCATCCACTACCATGCCTGGCTAGTTTTTGTATTTTTAGTAGATATGGGGTTTCACCATGTTGGCCAGGCTGGTCTTGAACTCCTGACCTCGGGTGATCCACCCACCTCGAGCTCCCAAACTGCTGGGATTACAGGTGCCAGCCACCACACCCAGCCCAAAAGCTTTGTGTTGTTACAGATATTAGACATGTTTCTTGTTTAAGAAAAAAAATCTTAACTATAACGTAGGAGAATAAGAGAAATGTTTTTCCAACAAAGACAAACTATTGTGATTATTTTATCTTATTAGAATGTTGGATAATATAATCTGCTTCATCAATCATCAGGCATGCTATGGATTTTCCATTTTTATAGGATCTGTATCTCAGTTATGGTACTACTGGTAATTTTTGTACCGTGTTTGAAGATGAAAAATGTAGGCCAAAATCATAGACCTTGCGTAGAAACTGGATAATGAGCACAGCTCTGAAGGAAAACATAGATACACACAGACACACATATATATAAAGTATACACACGTATATTTTTTAAAGTTTTAAAGCTTTTAAAGCAAAAGCCGGCACCTCCCCCATCCCAGACTGGGCAGCCCGTCCCCTCAGAGTGAGCGGGGACAGCGGTTGCGTGGGCAGCTTTCCTTGTGAGCCGCAGGTCCGTCTGGACATACTGCTGCCTGGCTACACCCCCTTTCCCTTTAATCTTGCTCAGTGACCAATGAGCTTGGAGCATTAAGGCCACGCCCCATTTCTGCATTCTACTGGGGCCCTGGTTAGGCCTCCTGTGGATCAGTGGCACAGCTGCCTGGTAGGTGACTGGAGGTGTTGATCAGTGCTTGCTGGGATTTCGCTGATGTGGTCCCAACCTCCCCTCCCTCCCTCCCCACCCCATGATGGCAGAAGAAACTCGACAGAGCAAATTGGCAGCAGCAAAGAAAAAGGTAAAAACGCACCATGTCATGGCCCCCCAACCCAGCCACAGATCCCCTCTGATGACAAGACCACTGCCAGAGTCCATACCACTTCTGAGGCAAATCGGACTGGGCCCCCCAACCATGGCCTCTCTGGGTTCCCCCAACCAAAGTCTTGTCAGTCAGCCCCGCCCCTTCAGCAAGCAGCCCAGTCCCTGCCCACAGCAGTAACCCCAGGGTGACTTTGGGTGGGTGATTCCTGGGGTTCCCCACTCCATTACTGGGCCCTTACCACCTGCCACTCCAAGCTTGACCCCCCTGGGCTCTTTGGGCTCGTGTCTCCAAGGACCTGGGTCCCCCAGGTGCAGGCCCCGCCTTTGGTAGTCATCCCTGGGTGACTTTGGGCTGGTGACTCCTGGGGCTCCCTGCTGCAGACTTTGCCCTCCCCTCCTGCTACCTCAAGGTTGACCTCCTGGGTTCTGTGTGGTGGCATCTCCAAGGACCTGGGTCCCAACCCTGTGTTTCCCTCCCTCATCATGGAGCAGCTACTCAGACATCACACTGATGTGGTCCTTTCCCCCAACCAGGAGGAGTGGAATGTAGTGATGTCACAGTCCGCCTAGGAACTGTCATTACTGCAAGACCGGCCTTTGGTCTTACGACACAGTCCCCTAAGCATTCTCACCCCATTTCTGGTTCCTCTGGTCACAGCACAAATTTCCAGCTGGAAAGGGAATGGAGACTATAGGACCCAGGAGCAAGAGGTTTCAGGCTGCCTTACTCCCTTCACATAGACATTGACAGTGGGGAAAGCCTACACTTCCCCCGTGAGCACAAAACATTAACAGTATCTCTGGGTGGCAATGGGGGAATGGGTTTGGTTTGGCTTTTCTCCCAAGCTTCTACTTTCCAGAGAGATTTCAACATTTTTTTTCTGAGTTCTCCACCTCATATTCTGATTCTCCATGGTTCTGGGACCAGACTGCCCTTCATTCAGTGGTCTCTGAAGTGAGATTTGCTCATCTTCTGTGGAATAGATCTTGGGAAACTGAACTTGACAGCTTGAATCTTCCTCATATTATCTGAACCTGGGGTACTCTGAATGCCACAGGATAAATGTGGGACATCTTTCTGAAGCATCAGTTTCCCTTGATTCTCTTGAGATCAAGAGAAAAAACAATAATGTACTTAGGGATGTCACATAGGTCACCTATGTAACATAGGTTTCTAAGAGTATACCAGACTTCTCTCTGAAATGAGGTTTGGGTTGTCTTCTTTCTGATAAATTCCCAGATTTAATAGAAAGGCTTCCTTCTGCCATGAGGACACATTGATATAAAATTTGAGAGGTACTGGTGCACTGCTTCACACTAATAGACAAGTGAGGATGTATGACTCTAAACCACATGGCATACAGTTCCTGCCTACTTAATGTTTACGTTTTTACCTCTGCCTCTGGTTTTGGTCCCTGGCAGCCACTGTTTCTTGGCAAAACCCCAAAGCTTGGAGTCAGAAGACTGAGTTTCAAAGTTCCAGTGTTACATTTTTTTTCTTTTCTTTTCTTTTTTGTTTTTTTCTCTAGCCATGATATCAATCCCCCTCAGTCACTAAATGATTGTACCAACACATTGTACAGTTGTTGGTATCATAAAATCAGATGGTGTATAAGAGTATTTTGTAAAAACTGTAAAGGAGGATGTGGCTGTAGGGGCTGATAGTACTCATGAGTATTACTGCTCTTCTGTCCCACAGTTAAAAGAATATTGGCAGAGAAAGAGCCCTGGCGTTTCAGCAGGAGCAAAGAGGAACAGGAAAACAACTGGCAGTGGCCCTCAGACAGCCACTGCTGATGGTTGCCACTCACCTGGAGATGTGAGTCTTGGCTGGCCAGGCTCCTGGGAACAGGGGGCCCAAGGGTCAGTGGAGGGTAATTGTTAAGATTGTGAATGGACTGTTAGGTACTGGTTAAGAATTCTGGGTTTGAATCCTGCCTCTCCGTCTACTAGGGATATGATTTAGGGCAAGTTGCTTGAGCTCTTTGGGCCTCTCTCTTTTCACATCTGTATAATAGAGGTGGTATTGTTTGACTTCCCTTTGTGAAGTTTAAATGAGATTTGTCATTGTTATTTTTATGTTAATCCCTAGTACATGACCTACTGTAAACACCCAGGACACCCAGGATATGGTCATTGCTGTTTGATTTTCCTCATCCCCAGTCTCAAGGGGAAGCCAGGACAATGAGAACAGTCACTTGCCATCAGGACTCACTGAAAGGGTCCCAGGGTGGGATGGTGGGGAGATAAGAACCATGAGAGAAGTTGGCACAGAGGAGTTTTGGGAGAAAGGGTCCAAGATAGGCAGAAAAGAAAATGTTGCCAGTTGATGGGGAAGAAAGGAAGTCAGAGGGCTTAGACACTGAGGTGGACAGAGCATCTCTACATACACTCTCATCTCTTATAGTCAGCAACAGGTATCCATGGGGAGGGCCCTACATCATCTGCTACCCTGAAGGATCTGCAGGTAAGAGGCTCTGGGCGGAGGTGCAGTGACCCTGCAGGCCAACCTTCCAAGCTTCTCCCACAGTGGGGACTGGGTGCCCCTCTGCCAGCTGAGACAGCCCACACACACCCCAGCCCTAATGATTGTTCTCTCTACTTCTTGACCCACTCCTCCTCCATGTCCTCCTTACTGCATGCACCTCAGAGCCCATGCCAAGAACCAGCAGTAGTCCTGGACTTGAGGTCTGTAAAAATCAGTCAACTGAATAACACCATCAAATCTTGGGTAAGAGTCCAGTGGGGTTCCCTGATTCCACGTTGCCAATCTTGGGTTCCAGTTTCCCGTTGGGGCCCTGAAGAAAGGGCCTGGGGGCCCCTGGTGCCAAGGACAAATAGGGAGCTGGGGCACCCAGGCCTCAACTGGAGGGAACCCACAGCATGCAGCATGGCTCTTCTTTTGCTGCCCTCTTTGCTGACTCTCTCCTCTCCAGACACCCCTGCTTGAGTCCTAGCTACACACACCCTGGGGTTTTTGCCCCTCGGGGAAGTGCTAGCCTGACTGGTTGTCAGGGGCCCCGTATTCCTGCCGTGACTCAGTCCCTAATTTGCTCTTTGATTCTGAACAAGCCACCTCTCCTTTTTGGGCTCGTGTTTCCAGAGAAGGTAGGGAATACCAGAGTATCTTTCTGTTGGTTCTGAGAGTCAGAGATTTAAAGGCCCCCTAGAATGGAAACCTTGGGGCTAAGGGCTCCTGTCTGTCCTTTTCCACCCTATATGTGCTGTGAAGAACCGTACCTGGTCCATACATGCTTAGAAAATGTTTATTGAATGAACACACTTTTCTAAATCACAAGCTGGCAGAAGGGGTGGCCTCTCTCAAACTCCATCTCTAGAGGCTTATGTTACTCTCCTCCCAAGAGATTCCAGATTCAGACTGAGTTCTGTGGCTGTGGTTGAAAACCAACAAAGACCCAAATCCTCTGTCCTTGGGAGCTTGAGGAGAGTTTACCAGGTAGTGTTCCCTTTGGGTCTGAGAACTTTGCCTTTAAAATCCTTTCCTGGCCACTGCCTGTTGCTTCCTGGTCTGGGGAATAGAGTTGAGGGGGCCACCCTCCATCACCTTAATTTGACTCTCCCAACAGAAAGAACAGAAGAAACAAGTAGAACATCAGTTAGAAGAAGTGACGTGATTTCTTTGTTTGCTCACATGACTGCTGGGTTTGGGGGGCGCTCAGATGTAGAAGCCCTGGTCTCGTCTCACCCACTCCCAGCCTAGGGAATAAGGCTCAACCCTCAGATTCCACCCCATCCCCACAGGGTCCCTGATAACCTGGTCCCATGGGTGGGTCTGTTCTGGGGCATTGGTGGCATTCTAGGGGCATGTCTCTTGCTGTGCCATCTCTGCCTCCCCCTGGTAAGAGCTCTGTCTTCCTCTTCCTACAGGAAAAGAAATCAAACAATGAGAAACAAAGCCAAAAGGCAGCTAGAGGTGAGTGGAGTCTGTGCAGTTCCCTCCTGTCCTCCAGAGAATGTTTCTTTCCTTCTCTTTCAGCACTTGCTTGGCTTTTCTCCCAAAGGTTCAAATCCAGAGATTGAACATACAGAAAGAGAAACTAAATACAGACCTGTATCACATGAAACGTTCCCTCAGATACTTTGAATGTAGGAATCTGGGCATCCTGTCATCCTTCAACCTGGCACTTTGACATGTCTTTAGGGGGAGTTCTTTGGGCCCCATCTCAACTGTCTCATTACAGATGAATCCAAGGATCTGGCCGGCTGCCTGCAACATTCATTGCAGCGTATAGCAGAGTTAGAGCGGGCTCTCTCTGCTGTCACCGCCACACAGGAGAAGAAGGAGATCAGTGTGAGTTCAGCCACTTGTCCCTTCCTCTGGCAGCTTGGCTTCCTAGATGGAGGAGTGAGCCTAAAGCTCCATTCTGCAGAATGGAGTGTCCTGCCCAGAACGCAGCATGGCCTTTTCCTTCTGCTTTTGTGTGTGGTTGTTAGAGCAACCTGGGCTGAGTCAGCTGTTGTGGGTGAGTTGGGGGGCACTGTGGGGAGTGAGTACTGGATGCAGAGCTTGGAGGCCAAGTGCCTGCCCTGCCCTTACCTGGCTGTGGTCTTGGCCAAGTCCTAGGTGTTGGGTACTTATTTGTACTGTGAAGGTACAGAAGAATACCTTTAATATGTTACCACTTCTGTAGTGAGAGGAAGCGTGTGTGTGTGTGTGTGTGTGTGTGTGTGTGTGTGTGCATACTATGATAATATACATAAAACATGTCTTTAAGGGTTCATAAAAAGCTCAGGAGATAGCAACAGGGTGGCTGAGAGAAACTTCCCTTGTGTTCCTTCTGAGTTTTAGACTATATGAATGTATCGTCCTTTCAAATAGTGAAAAAAGATTAATTTTCACCTTCCTATCTGTGCCCCTACCCCCAACAAAAAAATTGGCTTGGGAATTGGATAGACCTGGGTGTTCAAATCCCAGCTCTGCCTAAGTGATCTTAGGCAAGCACTTAACCTCGAATACTCCATGTTTTTTCATCTACACAATAGAGGGAATCATAGTAACTGTCTCCTACAGTGGTTGCAAGGATTAAATGGGATTGCTAGCATGGTACCTGGTGAAGCACTCAATAAAAGTTCAAACAGTGGTAATAATAACAGTAATAACAAAGCAATATTATCTGATCTCTCTGGATGTCTGTTAGCCAGCTGTAAATTCAATCTTTTCCCTGTCCCTTCCAACTTGACTGAGTTCTTTTAAAAACCATACCATGGGCTTGGAAGTGCCTTGATCTTTACTGACCGAGTTGTATATTGAGCCAAGCCCTAGCCCTTTTAAGGGGCACTGTGTGGAATGCCCCAGGTCCCACAGATTGGAAACTTCTCACTCTTCACCATCCAGACCTCAAGCCGCGGTAAAGCAGTTATTGAGTGGCAGTTAGAGCAGTCCATACGGGAGCAGGCACTGCTGAAACACATGCGACACAGGTGAGGTTTTGCAGAGGGAGTGATGTGGAAGGAAGATGACCCCAGGTGGCCAGGAGCAGGTGAGGACCAGTGACGGCCCTTCCTAATTTCTGTGCCCGTTCTTGCAGTTGAAGGAGTTGCTTAAACAAGTCCAGCTAGAGAGAGATGAATATGCTTAACACATAAAAGGAGAGAAGGCCTGGTGGCAGCAGAGGATGAGGAAAATGTCTCCAAAGGGGAGCTCTGACCCTTCAGTCCCCCACCTTCAATAGGTCACTGGATCTTTCTGGGCATCTGTAAAATGGGAACAGTACAGCCAGAGGTGGTCATGGGCTTTGTGGAGGTGGGAGCAGAGAGGGAGATGGCAGCCTGTCCAGCCACCAGCCCCTCTCTCCAGGGCCCTTTGCCCCCATGCTTTGGGCAGGTTTGCACATTGGAGAAGGAGAAGAAGCATGATACACGTCGGGTAGAGAAGCTGGAGAGGAGCTTGTCCAAACTCAAAAACCAGAGGGGTAAGATGGGACTAGCATGACCTGGGAGCAGGCCTGGCATCAGAGGGCCCTGGGAGTGGCTTAGAGTACCCCAGGGAGGTGGGTGGATGGAAGGGCTTTGAGGCAGAGGGAAAGGGGTCTGTGCCAGGAGATAGCAAGTCTTGTCGTCTCCATGAGCCTCAGTGTCCCCATCAGCAAAGAAGGCCCATTGTAAGCCACCCACAGTGCTCTCTATCTGAAAGTGGTTCGGAAGATTGGCTACCATCTGGGTGCGAGGAATTATTAGCAGCGTGGTCAAGTTTGGGGAGCCTGAGAGGAGCTGTGCACCAACAGGAAGTGTTTTTGTTTGTTTGTTTGTTTTAGAATCCAGAGGTCCTTATTGCCTGCTTCCTTTCTCAGCTGAACCCCTGCCTCTGGAGCCTCCAGCAGTGCCCTCTGAGGTGGAGCTGCAGCATCTGAGGAAGGAGGTTGAGAGAATGGCAGGAGAACTCCAAGCCCAGGTGGACAACAATCAGCGCATGAGTGTCCTGATCTGGGGGCAAAAGGACAGGCTTCAGGAGCAGGAGGAGAGGCTTTGGGAGCAGGAGGAGAGACTTCAGCAGCTGGCCGAGCCACAGAGCGGCTTTGAAGAGCTGGTGCGTTGCCCACCTGGGGAGCCTGCCCTTCTACCAAGTCCTCCAGGCCTTGGTAGGGGCGTTTTAGCCCTCATGTGAAATGTTATTTCTAAAGGCACCTGTGAGCCAGAGCGCTGCGCTGGAGGCTGTGGAGAGAGGGGATGATTTTTCTCACCTGCCTCCACCCTTCCCGGTGCCATGGGAGGCAGACACCAAGTTCTTGGTTCTCCAGCTGCAGTGGGTGGCTACTGATTGCTTCTCTCTGTCCAGAACAATGAGAACAAGAGCGCACTGCAGTTGGAGCACCAGGTAAAGGAGCTGCAGGAGAAGCTGGGCGAGGTGAAGGAAACAGTAACCTCCATCCCCCATCCAAGAAGGGCTGGGAAGCGAGCACCAGCCTCTGGGGAGGGGAGGTACCAGGACAGAGGCCGCTCCAACCTGGGGTCAAGTGGCCCCAGCACCCTCCAGGGCAGTCCTGTGACTGTTTCTTGCTTTCTGCCCTCTGACTATTAGACATGTGGAGCCCTGGGCTCCTCCCAGGTCTGGACATCATCATCCCAGCTAGAGGTATGGAGCCCCCAGTCATAGGGGAAGAGACAGTGGTATATGAGGCTCCTTATTCCAGGCACGGCGGCTCATGCCTATAATCCCAGCACTTTGGGAGGCTGAGGCAGGAGAATCACTTGAGGTTGGGAGTTTGAGATCAGCCAGGCCAACCTGGTAAAACCTCATCTCTTATTACAATTACCAAAAAAAAAAAAAAAAAAATTAGCCAGGCACGGTGGCACATGCCTGTAATCCCACCTACTCAGGAAGCTGAGGCATGAGAATCGCTTTAGCCCAGGAGGTGGAGGTTACAGTGAGCTGAGATTGCACCACTGCACTCCAGCCTGGGTCACAGAGTGACACCCTGTCTCCAAACAAAACAAAAATACTCCTTAGATTAAAACTGGATTCCAACCTCAGTTCCACAGGTCACCATTCAAGTATTTTGCATCTCTAAGTCTCTGTTTGTTTAACTTCAATAGGAAGTTATCATTTTCCTTACAGAGGAGTTGAGGATTAAATGAGATAATACTTGGAAAGCATTAGGCATGTAGCGCACTTAGCAGATGGTGGTTGTCTCCCACTGCTTTTCCACCAGTCTGTGGCCTACAGTTTAAATGATGAGAAAAGGGTATGAGATTTGAGGCTGGGGAAGGAGGCATGGGGTTCTAGGAAAAGGAGGCAGTCACTTAGGCCCGGAACAAGGGGCCAGGGGCCTGGGCAGGCGATAGAGCCCCACATTTCTCTCGCTACCCTATCAATGGACCCAGAATCTGGAAGCCAGCCACCACGTGCCCTCACGCCCAGGGTCTTCCTGCAGGTGAAGCTGAAGAGCCAAGAGGCTCAGAGTCTGCGGCAGCAGCCAGACCATTACCTGGGTCACCTGCAGCAGTATGTGGCCACCTACCAGCAGTAGGTGGCCGCCTATCAGCAGCTGACCACTGAGAAGGAGGCACTGCACAGGCAGTTACTGCAGCAGACCCAGCTAATGAACCAGCTGCATCAGCAGGAAGCTTGGGGCAAAGTGGTGGCCAACCTGGCCCACAAAAAGTTGCAGGAGACCCAGGGGAGGGAGCTGCTGAGGCCGGGGCCCTAAGGGGGACAACCTGGCAAACTCCGTGCCCTCTCACCCTTTCTTGGCTCCTTATGAGTGCCTGGAAACTTCCAGCCAGCAGAACCAGCCCCTACAGGCCCAGCTGAGCCTCACGGCTCTCCCTGGGGAAGGTACGGGAACCTGCTCGGAGGAAGAGGAGAGAGCCCCAGGAGGAAGGGGGTACTGTTAGCAACACAGGATTAAGGAGTTGGAAGAGACCTTTAGAACAGCTGGTCCTTATGCCGACTGGGTGCCTGCACTAAGTTCAGCATCAATATGGTGACTTCCTGGGAGCGGGGTCCACCAAGTTGCCTAAGGATGGCTGAACTGGCCCAGGTCAGAAATGGAGCAGGTCAGAACTCCAGCACCAACTAGTAGTGGGACTGTGCCTGGGCAGCATAGCAAGATCTTGGTTCTTAAAAGTAAAAATAAAGAACAGCAGCTTATTCCTGTCTGGGTAGGGGCTGGCTCAGGGTTACACAGTGATGGTGGAGGTAGAGGTGGGCCCACAGTACCTCCCTTGTTGGGTTGTCTGAGGACCCTTTTGGCTACCCCCCACAGGAGATGGAGGAGGACATCTGGACAGTGAGGAGGAGGAGGCACCTCAGCCCATGCTGACCGTCCCGGAGGACCTGGAGAGCTGGGAGGCCATGCTGAGCCTGACTCCCCCTGCACCCATTTTGCCACCTTCCTGTGTGGTCCCTCCAAGACCCCTTTATGCTCTTGGTTTCCCTGCCTTCTGATTTCTCTGGACCCTCACCCCATCTGGGAGCCAGTGGTCAGACACCATTTCACCTGTGACCAACAGGTGCACTTTCTGAGGCCCCAAGGGAAGGGGCTGCACTCCACCTCTCTGCCCGTTTGTTCTGTGTATGCCCCCACAAGAATGCTCACGTCTTGTCTTCTGGTGGCATTTTACAACTCCACTGAAGTCAGTGCCCAGGAGGAGCAGGCATGGTTACAAGAGCAGGTGAAAGAGCACAGAGTGTGCTGCCAGCACCTGGCTCAGCCGGTGGCCTCTGCCCAGCAGGAGCCAGAAGCAGTGATCCCAGCCCCAGTGACTGGTGGCGAGTCTGTGAGTGGGGAGACCCACCAGGCCCTGCAGGAGGTCATGGAGAAGCTGGAGGTGAATGAGTTCTGGCATGGGCCAAGAAGGGCAGGGGTGGGGCAGGTCGCTGCCAAGATATGACCCCATTATTTTGACTTCAGAGAGGCTTTATGGACCTCCTGGAGGAGAAGGGGGACCTAAGGGAGTGGGTGAGAAGCTAGAACTTCGATTCATCCAGTACTGGAAAGACAGACGCCATCAGTGAGCTGGAGGACAGGGCATGGCAGTGGGAGCTGCAGGGCTGTCAGAGGGGTCTCAGTGTCTGAGCCCTGTCCTCCCACAGGAAAGTTCATCACCTTATAACGGAGCCAGGAGGTAGTGCCAAAGATGCGGCACCCTGCTGATGAACCTAGTCCAGGAACCCAGCCCCCCCAGGAGCTGGGGGCTGCCAACAAGCATGGTGGTGAGTAGAGTCCTCAGGCGGGTGGGCAGGCAGGGGCAGGAGAGGCTCGCACTGCGCTCAGATCCCCGCCTCCCTCTCCCCAAAGATCTTTGTGAGGTGAGCCTCACCGACAGCGTGGAGCACCCAGGCTTGGACATCAACCCCTGTGTGCCATTCTTTTGCCGGACTTGGCTGCCGAGAAGAAGGAGATAAACATCACCATCATCAAAGAGCTGGTCAAAAAATTTTACAAAAGGAAACAAGTTATGGGGTTAATCTCCTACCCAATTCATTTACTTCATTGGAATGTTAGAGCCACTCATGATTATTTGTGTTTCTAATTTATAATTTAAGTTTATTTGTAAAAAGTTAAAGGAGAGTGGGTCTCAGTGGCTTTCACTGATGTTCACTCTGGCATCCTTTAGCATTTTTCATTTTTAATTTCATAATCGTTGGTCATTAGCATGCATATCGAGTTTGCCCTTATATGGTGGGAGGTCAAACACACAAAGACCCACTATTTGCACAAAACTATTGTCGCTGGTTTGGAATAGGCTGCTATGCTTTTTTAATGTCATTGCAGCATGTATGTTCATTATGGAATTCAGATAAAATCTGCTTATATTCTGCTATTATGTTTGATCTAATCTTAATCACTGCTCAATATGTGGTTTGCCCTCAAGTGTGCACTGTTTATTACTTTGTAATGTGCCACTGTGAGTACTGACATTTAGAGTTGTTTAAAGGCTGAGAACTGGAAACAACCTTTCCCCCGTTTTCTGTGTATTGGTGATGGGAATAATGACATTTTGGGGGAGCTTTTCAAATCTCACAGAAGAGGAAAGTGGCCTGCTCTGGCAGGTGTGTGCGGGATAGAATGTGTTTCATTTGGTCCGGTGCCAAGAATGAGCGCTGTACTATGGTAGTTCCCTCAGGATTTGTGTGTGCTCTGGGCTCATGAAGATATTGCACCATGAGCTGCAGCAGTTGTACTCTTTCTTGATGACCTAAAAGGGATTATTTCTGAGGAATGAAAGGCTCCCATCGTTGACTGTAGATGATGAAAAAACAATCAGTTCTAAAACCAAAGCTTATTTTTAGAAAATTTGAAAGTATAAATTAGCCCTATCCATAATATAGTTTCTCTAAAACTTTATCTGAGTCATTTAAAAATAATATAAGTATTAAAAAATGTAACTGCTATCTTAATGTTCTGAAATAAGTTAAAACATTTTAAAATGCGAATACTGCAGTTTAAAAGAAAGAAATGGTAGGAAGGAAAAGTAGAGAAAGAAGTGCCAGTTCCAGTCCAAAGCTTTAGTTGCCAAGTTTTCTTAGAATGAATTTTACCAATTTATGAATTCTTGTAAACAGAATGTATAATGGAAATACTGAAAGACTTTTGCCTGAAGTGGCATTATTGACTGCTGGTGTGATGCTACTGTAATGTAATAAATTATTAAATTGTTGCAAAGTGCTGTTTTTGCCTTAAAATTTTATTTTGTGAGTCTTGAAATCTATAGTATTAAAGGTATTGATACTGTGCAAATGCTGGGCATGCTTGGCATGAGATAATCTGTTTCATTTTTACGAAATTGGAATGTAACTATGCAACTGTTTATGAAAAGAACACAAAATTAAAAAATTACGGGATTAAAAATGTTATGGGGTGAAAAAGTTGTGGGATAAAAAATGTAAAAAAGTTGTGGCAAAAAAAAGTTGTGGGATAAAAGTAGAAAAAAGTTTTATGAACAGTTACAAAAAAAAGTTATGAAAAAGAAGTTATGGGATTTTTTGAAAAGTTATGGGATAAAAATAAAAATTAAAAGCAGGCCCCTGTCAGCAAAGCCTGGAGAAGTGGGGCTGGAGTCTCTACTGCCACCATGTCCCTACCACCCCTTCCCAGTCACCCTGTTACAATTAGGGGAGCAACACACGACCTCTGTCTAATGGGGAAAGACAAACAGACCCTTTGCCGCCTTGACCAGGGCTGAGTCCTTAGATTTCTGGATGATGATGATTGTTATTTAAGAGCCAGAGGCTGGTGGAGTTGGTTTGTTCGGAGGAGGTCTGATGGTCTCCTTACTCTCACCATAGCACGTTTTCCCTCAGGGGGTCTCCAATCTTCTTATTCAGAGAGGTAGCTGAGGCGGGACAGTGGGGCGAACTGTGGACCAGGTGAGTGCACGGGCTGCTGGGGTGGCCCCCTTCCCCGATGTACATATTGTGTCTGTGTAATGTTTTGTATATTCCAGAGGGTAGGGCCACCCCTGTATCGTAGCTAGCGGAGGTTGGAGCTGGCACATGAGGAGGAGGGTCTAATAATTATTTGTGGCTGCGAAACTTATTTATTGCTAGCATAGGACAGAGGAAGGAGGAGGGGATGGAGTTGTGACTCCCTGGTGATTGGACTCCTGTTTATTTTGCTTTTTATTTTGGAATAAATGGATTTAGCCATACTGCTTGGCCTGGTGTGTTCCCATTTCCCTCACTGGGTCCTGGAGTTTGTGCCACTGAATGAGGAGCCCCAGAGTGTCTGAGCATGTCCAGCTGGGCTGTTGGGGACCTTCCAGGCCTGTTACCTGTTGCTGCCTGGTGACACCTGGGGGATTCCATGGGGACTGCCATGGAGCCTATGGCGTGCAGTCTGGCCCTGACAGCCAACAGACTCAGAAGCCTGATCTGGCGGTGGCGGGGAAACAGGTACCAGCACCTAAGGGCACGACCTCCACCCACCCCAGGCTTCTTCCGTTCTGTCCCCTTGCCTCCCTCTCCTGTCTGCACCTGGTGGCCTGTTCCATCTCTCCCTCTAGAGTGCTGGCTGCTCCTCAATCTCCCTCCAGGCTGAGTTCATGGCAGCCCCCTGTTGGCCAGAGCCAGCTTCACAGGATAAGAGCCAGCTAAGCTTCAGGGGCTTTCCAGGAAAAGTGTCGCTTGGAAAAGGTATGGCCTTTTCACCACTCCCAACAGCACCCTAGAAATGGCTCGGTCTTTCCCCTCCTGTGAGCTCCATAGAGAACACGGCCAGCAGAGGATGCATTTCCCCGTCATCCAGAAATGGGTTTCATTCTCAGCTGAGGGACAGCAGGACTGGCAGAGACTGTCAGGCCACACAAAGGCCTGCACAGCACTGCCATGCTTGGTTGGGGGCGGGAGGGACAGCGGGTGTTGGCTGTCCACAGGCCGGGCATGACAGGGAGGCTCACTAGAGGTGGTGCACTTTGGAAGGCCAATGTTAGGGGACAGATTTCTCTTGTTGGGCCACAAGACTCCACAAGACCAGCACGGTGACTGATTCCCAGTGCTAGAGGCGAGGTGGTCGGCCACCTGTTGGGGTGTGTGTATGTGTGTGTGTGTGTGTGTGTGTGTGTGTGTGTATATAGGTATTTATAGATATTTATAGACCAGGGCAGGGGCGTACCACAGAGGGGGCACAAGTTTTCGGCAATGGTCACACCTGGATGTGTCCGCTCACCACTACAACAGACTAAGTCACAGATGTAGGGGGCTGGCTTTGGGGCTGGGGGAGTCATTGTCAAGTCACAGAACAGTTGCCCAGGCAGGCTTGGAAAGGGAGGTCTCCAAGAAGTGGAGGGATCTGTTTAGAGGTCGAAGGGGTGCCTGGGCTCTGAGGACGGGATGGTCTTGCCTGACCCAATCGACTGGCAGTTGGAGAGAAAGCAGAGAGAAAACAGGAGAGAGAAAAGCGAGCAGAGAGCTGGTGAGGCAAGTGCAGAGCACAGATGTGCCACAGCAGCTGTGGTAGGGCCGGGGAGGGGAAGGCGCATGTGTGAGTGTGGCAAGCTTCCTGGAAAAGAGGGGTTGGAAAGGAAAGGGGAGGAAGATGGAGGAGCCGGAGCTTCATGGTTAGTGCCTGGGGGCTGCGGCAGCCCTCCCCACTCCACACACGCTGGCGTCTTCCAGGGCACCCAGGCAGTGCACCCACCATTCAGAGCAATGCCTGGTCACCCTGTCTTCTCTGGTCACCCTGTCTTCCAACCCACTGGCCCAGGGCCACCTCTCGCTTTTTGGAACCCAATGCAGCAGCCACCAGACCTGATAGAGAAGGAACAGTGCTTGAACCAGGATGATGAAGCTAAAAGGGATGGATGGCTGGAGTGATTGCCGGAGCTTCCTCTGGGCAGTCAGAAAGCCCAGGACCCTGGGGGAGACAGGGAGGGTAGGCAGCCAGATGCCATAGGCTATAGACGTGTAAGTCTAGGAGGGGGAGCCTCAGCTTGTTGGGGGTTGCAGGTCACACAGGTGAGGCTGGGCCCTTCCTCCTGGGAGAAGAAGAAGAAGGAGAGTCCATGGCAAGGGAGATGGGCGGGCTTGCTGGGCGGAGCTCAGCCAGGCCAGCAGGCACTGTGGTCCCCTTGGCTGAATAGCAGAGGTGACCTCTAGAAGCAGCTGGCCAAGGTGTGTGACTCTGCTGGCTGGCAGTAGTGCTTCAGTGGGGGCCAGGGACCTTGCCTTCAGCCACACACTAGCAGCTATGATGGTACCTGGGAGGGAGAGAAAGGGGCTGTGTGTCCCTGCCTGGCCTGTGAGGTGTGCTGTGGGTTGATCGTGTGTATGGAACTCTCAAGGTTTTATCCTAGATCACTACTGGATTGCCGACAGATAGAGGAGGTGGGACCCTGACTATCACCCCTGCTCTGCAGTGAGTGGATTTGGCTCTCAGCACTCCCAGGCTGGGAGCTGGATGCCCTCCCCTGGCGCATGACTCAGACTGCACAACAGGTACAGCGGGCCCAGGATGACATTGCTAGGCCTCTGGCCACCTCAGAGTACGGCCCCACACACAAGCCTCTCCAGGATCTCAGCCCTTACACCATAAGCTCCAGAGAGCACCCATGTCTGCCAGCTTGGGCACAGAGCCTGCTCCAAGAGCTCCCAGGCTCAGTCATGGAGGCTGGGGTGCTTTGGGGCTACTGGGGGCCAGCCCTGGTACCTCCATTCGGCCGGGACGCTCTGCACCTGCAGCCAGGAGTCGTCAATGGGCCCCCATGGGCGTGCTGATGGTGGTCATGTTGATGTCACCCATGATGCTGAACGCCTCCTTCAGCATGTGGTGCATATGCAGTATCTCGTCGCGCCGCTGTGCCTGCTATGCTGATTCCTCCATCAGCGTGTTCTGGTCCCCATGCAAGTACAGGTGGGATAGCAGTTCCGAGAAGAGGAACTCCTTGGTCTGAGAGTGGGCAATGAGGGAAGGAGGTTTGGACCTGATACCTGTGCTGCCCTGGCCTCCCACCAGGCCCTGGTAGGACTGTGTGCTGGACTTGGAGTCCTGAGTATGGCTTTTCAGATGTGGCTTCTACACCACTTAGACTCAAAGATCTGCCTCCCCACTGCCCTTTTCTCACTCAGATAGGGACACCGAGATCCAGAGGAAAAGTCACCTGTCCAAGGTCACAGATCTGGGAGGGGACCCTGGACCTATCATGCCACCAGGACACCTGTCTACTCAGTTTTTTCAAAATGTTTTTGGAGACAGGATCTTGCTCTGTCACTAGGCTGGAGTACAGTGGGCGAGATCACCGCTTAGTGCAGCCTCAACCTCTTGGGCTCAAAGTGATCCTCCCATGGCAGCCTGTTGAGTAGCTAGGACTATAGGCAGGTGCCACCACCAAGCCCAGCTATTTTTAAAATTTTTATGTAGAGGCCAGGTCTCACTATGTTGCCCAGGCTGGAATCAAACTCCTGGGCTCAAGCTATCCTCCCACCTTGACCACCCAAAGTGCTGGGATTACAGGCATGGGCTACTGTCCTCAGTCCCATGTTATATTTCTGAGACACCTCTGGTTTGGACTATGTGTCCCTCCCTGTACCTGGTCCCATAGGGCTGGTCGGCATCTCCCCCAGGCCAACATGGCCACCTGCATGCCCTGTGCCACAGGAGCCCCCTCTCACCATGAGGCGGTGCATGCACGTTGATCATGATGTGTGTGGTGGTCTTGGGCATGACACCAACCATGAGATCCCACACGGTCTTGTTGATAATGGCCATGTAGGACTCCACCAGGTTCTGGATAGTTTCCATTTACCACTCCAGCTGTGGGTCCATGGAGTGCATGAAGCTGTTGGAGCCATTCTCCTCGCCCTTGCTGTCCTGTCATGGAGCACACAAGGGCATCAGGGTGGCCAGGCCATGCAGCCAGGCTCCAGGGATCCCTGGGATCTCAGCCCCTCCAAGGGTACCTGGAACATTGAGGCACAGAGAGAAGCAAATGGCCTGAACACACACCCAGCTCTAGAAGGTCTCACGCCTCTGCCTCTCAGGACCACAGACTCCTGTGATTCAAGTCTTGTCTTAGTTCTGACTCTAGTATCCAGAATTTGCCTCAAGTTACCAATCCAGAAATTAGAAAAGAACATCTCCAAGTTCCTTGCTTGAAGACCTGGCCAGAGCTTGTGCCAGGCTGCAGATGCCTGGCAGGAGGCAAGAAAAGGGCATACTCACTTTCCCCTTGTCCTGGGAAGCCCACACACCAACACTGCCACCCCCGCTGCCACCAGGGAACACAGCAAAGTAGACACACACAGAGAGGAAAATGGGAAGTGTTGGGTGAACCTGGGACACTGCACCCCAACTTTAATGTGTTGTTGAATTCAATTAGCTAATATTTTGTTGAGGATTTTTGCATCAATATTCATCAGTGATACTGGCCTGTAGTTCTCTTTTTTGGATGTATCTTTGGTTTTGGTATCAGGGTAATACTAGCCTTGTAGAATGAGTTTGGAAGTCTTCCCTTCTCTATTTTTGGAATCGTTTGGGTAAGGTTGGTATTAGTCTACTTCAAATGTTTGCTAGAATTCAGCAGTGAATCATCAGGTCCCAGGCTTTTCTTAGCTGGGAGACTTTTTATTACCACTTCGATCTCATTATTTGTTATTGGCCTGTTCAGGTTTTGGATTTCATCCTGGTTCAATCTTGGTAGTCTGGATGCGTCTTGAAATTTATCCATTTTTAGTAGGTTTTCCTATTTCTTTGCATATAGTTGCTGATAATAGCCACTAGTGATCCTTGGAGTTGTTTGGTGTCAGTTGTCAT